ATGGACTTAGATCTAGGGCCAGGGTGGAACCCCAAAGTACCTGCTTTTATCTTTACTTTCTCCACCAGTACTTTCCAGTTGACCTACAAAACAACCCTAAACCAAACGACTAGATAACAATGAAGTGAGAAGCAGTCTAGGGTATCAAAACTCGTGGAATATCTTGGCTCAAGATGAGATAGTTAATTTCGGTCATGCAATCAATCTTAATAACCCGCACGGGGTTCACACTAAACTCTCCACCTCTAGAAAAAGTAAAAATAAAAAATAGTTGGTTGCAAGAAGGAAATTAAAAAAATCAGAAAATGTGTACTAGTCTGAATAAGACAAAATACTTAATGAATGGCAGTTGAAGTTTAAATATTTATCAAAAGCTTCACCCTATCGTTTCGATACTCCAATGCATAGTTATTAGTTAATGTTTGGATTAAGTGGCACGTTATTCTTGCATGTTGATGTGGTTAGGATTCTCATGTGCTATTGTTGACTTTGTAAGTTGCTTATGATCTACTACCTAAGATCAAGATTGAGTGATGATTCCTTGAGTTGTATGATTATGGTAGTGTTCCCTTGGGGAGAGGTAAAGTTCAAGTATGGGGTATTTCTCATGACACTTTATTTATGGTGTTTATCTCTCTTATTCTTAATACATTTTCCCCTTCTCTCAATGCATCTTAGTCCTTTCATTTGTATTGCATATCTAAATCATAACTATTTGATCAATGATCCTTTAAAAGACCTAGGATGTATTTTGTACTCTTTGATGCCTTCTTGGTATGTTTTTTTTTTTTTTTTTTGCTTTAGAGGTACAAAGCATCCTAAGGAAACTTGGATCAAGCATTGGATAAATTTGGAGGACCAAATGAGATATAAAGAAAAAACATGGAGTACTCATTATGAAGAAGAGGTTCGATGATGGAGAAGCCTACTAGTAACCATAATGTGGGCCCAAGAGAAGCCCAACGAAGGAAAACTTGATCCAATCAGAAGCAAAAACTTGCGGCGACCCAGCAACTAGTCCAACCGTCGCTCATGGAGACCTAGAAGAATCTCGCCCAAATCTTTAGAAGATGTTGTCCATGGGCCAAGGAGGTCATCCCAAGAAGAAAAAGGACGACAAACCCTACCTCTGCATAGCTGCCGCCAAGAGGCCCAAGCCCAAAACAAGGTCTTTAGGCCATGACTTTGGTCCTAGTCAAAGAAACCTTGTCCTAGTCGGTTTAGAAGGGTTTTGGCCGAGTTCTATCCCTATAAATAGGAGGCTCGACTCACTAGTTCAAGAGGTTGCAAAACTACATTCAAACTTTTGTATACTCTACTCAAGTAAGAGTTTAGCTTTCGTAGGAAAGGGGGCATCTAGAAAGATGCTTTCATCATCAATGGTGGTACTGGTACCCTTCTCTTATATGTTGCTAGTTCGAAATTGATTGTGTGCAGATGTGAACTCATTTACAGTTGTATTTATTGATGCTATGATTTCATATTATGCTTGTATTGATGCTTTTGATTGTCTATGCCCGATATGTATGCATGGATGCTTTATGTTCCGATGCATATGTGTATGATTTTAATGCTCATTTAGTAAAATACTCTTTATCATTGATACTTATGATTCTATAGAGTGCTATTATATGCATTCTGCTCAGTATCGTCTAGGTTGTTAATAAATTATCCTCTAGTGATACCTAATTGATGTCACACAAGAATAGAGGGAATGATGAATCACCTATACCTCAAGTGGTTTCAATGCTTGATTGATATATCATCGATGTTGTAGTCCATCGATTATGGCTCAAGTGGCCCACACTTAAATCATGTGTTATCCTAACTTGTTCTTCATTAATTAGGTAATGACATGAAGTGAAGGCATGCATTAGCTAGTTAAATCTCTATCGCAAGAGGCGCATGCACTGTTAGAGAATGACCTTAGTGTAAGGGATAGAGTTATGATATAGATGAGTTATTGATCCATGATATGATTAAGCCTTAGTATGCGTTCTGCTATTTGAGATTCACTCTCTTATACAATAATGTATAATTACTTTTATGCATCTATAAATAAAAAAACCCCTAAACAATCTTGCTTTACTTTTCTTTGCTTGTTAATGGAATAAAAACCCCTAAATACTACGAACAAGAGTTTGGTCTAGTGGTAATACCATTATCTTTGAACATAAAGGTCTCAGGTTCAAATCCCTTAAGTAGTACCTAAACAACAAAAAGTGAAGCATGCATTAGCTAGTTAAATCTCTATCACAAGAGACGCATAGGTTCAAATCCCTTAAGTAGTACCTAAACAACAAAAAGTGAAGCATGCATTAGCTAGTTAAATCTCTATCACAAGAGACGCATGCACTGTTAGAGAATGACCTTAGTGGAAGGGATAGAGTTATGATATAGATGAGTTATTGATCCATGATATGATTTGAGACTTAGTATGTGTTATGCTATTTGAGATTCACTCTCTTATACAATAATGTATCATTAATTTTACGCATCTATAAATAAAAACCCCCTAAACAATCTTGCTTTTCTTTTCTTTGCTTATTATTGCAATAAAACCCCCTAAATGCTACGAACAAGAGTTTGGTGTAGTGGTAATACCACTAGCTTTGAACCTAAAGGTCTCAGGTTCAAATATCTTAAGTAGTACCTAAACAATAAAAAGTAAATATATATCACACTTACCAAATAAAAAACCCTAAAACATATATCACACTTATCAAATAAAAAACCCTAAATGCCTCTCTTGTTTCTTGTGTCTTAGATGGTATGGTGTGAGTAGTTATGCTAGGATTATAACCTCAATTATTACATCACATGGACATCATTAAAAGGAGATAGGATAGACATTTGAGCCCTTATTTATTTGTGGGCACATACTTGTTTAATTTAGCTTTTGAGAATTTTAATGATTCAAGGATGGATATTAATAGCATTCTTGATCTTTTGTACTTATTGGTCGTTACAAACTAAACTCCTAACAAAGCCCAAGTGTAACCAATGAAAGTGACTGCGGTATCCTGACACAAGTAATAAAATATTGATTAGACTCAACCCAAATCATAGAGCTAGAAGATATCCACGTTAGCATGCTCAAGGGTTATCGATCAGACTCAACCCACATCATAGAGCTAGAAGATATCCAGTTAGACATTGCCATGACCTACAATGAGATACCAGTCAGGATCATCGACTACAAAAATAAAGAGTTATCAAGGAAGAAGAACATAATGGTGAAGGTGGTTAGGAGAAACAAGGCACAAAAGCGGCCACTTGGGAGATCGAGGAGTACATGAGGAAAACATATCCATACTTGTTCCTTGATGTACCTTTGTGATTAGTAGATGGAATTAAGACATTGCAATAATAAAAGTTCAGAGCTGAAGTTTCGCTATGTACTATGTGTTCTCAATTTCGAGGATGGAATTTTATTAGAGCGGATGAAATGTAATAACACAACCCATGCCCATGATGGTGAGTAGGCTGGGAATTAATATGGTTGGGCAGAAGTAGCTGTCAAATAGTATCGGTGCTCCCTCCATATCATAAATCCTCCTCATTCTAATGTAAACCACCATTATTCTTTTCTCGACCGCACATAAGCTTCACCATCAAGCCATACATCTCACTCACAATACTTACCATTACTACTGACCCTCAAACACCAACACTCTATTCCCATCATCAAACTCAATCCCTCCACCCTCTCATCATCACCATCATCGTCATCACTAGAGAAGGAGGATGCAACCCGTAGCTACTTCATCTTCATGTGTCTCTCAACTAGTAGCTTCGACGGCAAAGTATCGGAGGTGACTAATTGAGGATATAAGCAAGGATTGGAGATGCTAGTGTCTGGAATCTAGGTCTAAGAACGCATACGAGGTTCACAAAGGTGAAGCAGCTCTTTGAAAGCACATATTCGTTGAGTGCATGGATATCATTTTTTACGTACTCGACCTAATAAGGTGCGTATGTTCAAAGGGGCTAGTTAGTAATTCAAGTTCATCTATCTAATTATGAAATTAAATTAAGTCATTTACTTAAGCAACAATGTGTATGTTTAAGTTGAGTTCATTTATGTTTAGCATTTTAATTTTAATAAGCACGACGACATTGTATGCCATCAAGAAGTTGCGTTTTAGAGCAAGCAAATACAAGTTACATTATAGGCAAGTTTATAGACTTACGTTATGTTACTAAGATATCAAGTAAGTACTCGTTTTTAACCACTCGTTTGACTAGCAACATGCGGCTATCGTACTTCCCACTAGGAGGAAGTTTATGATCATGTTAAGTTATGTTGGTACCTCTCAGTTGCTTAGATAACACACGGCTAACTTTATGATCATGTTAAGTTATGTTGATACCGTTCAGTTACTTAGATAGCACGTTGTTACCTTTACTTCCCATTAGGTGGAAATCTACGTTTATTAATTTTATGCATTGTTAACAGACTTTAGACTAAATGTTTATTTATGTTAGAACACTATTTTAAGAAGCATTTTCCTTGTATTTTGGAATGACGTCTATGTGACTTTTTTGCTACATTTCATGCATTGACTAGTTGACTAATGTCAATGACATTTTGGTACCCGTGGTCGAGGATGTTACAAAAACTATTGGACCTCAACCTTTAAGAGATCATTTGGATGAGGGGTTTGGATCACCAAAATCACTAACATCAGTGCCATCCTCTTCATCAACGTCACTAAACTGAACCCGTCGCTCGGTGCGAAAGGAAAATAAGTCCAGAAACCATTAGGGCCCCCAATGATTTGCCGGTCTAGTTGGATTATTATGTGAGCCAGCCAACAACTGGAAAATTAAGAACAACCTCACATGCATCTGCCCCAAGTATCCAACAATACAGCCATATTGTTATTGCAGTGACCTGTTACCCAATAATGTCCACAGCTTACGGCGAACTATCATTCCCTCCGCTTTTCGTGACAAACAAATAGCTATAAAGCTCCGTCCACTTCAAAAGGGCCCGCCACCCACCATAGGCTCGGGGTAGAGACTATACACATAGGCCCATTCGTTCCAGCCACTTATGTTGTCCAGCCCAGGACATTAGGCCTTGTTGTGAGGCCCATTAAGGTTTCGGCGCCAGAGATTCAGTAGGTAGTTAAAGTTCCTCTTGCGTCTGGACCAATGGACCGTGTCTTCCGTGTTCAGTTACGCCGTAAATGGGAAAGTGCCACGTGGACCCCGTGAGCCAGCCAGCACCCGCCATTTTTCTGGATTGGTCAAAAAAAAACAAAATAGAAAACCCCCGAAAACGATAATCCTCCAGTCATTTCTATTCCATCCTCATCCTCCACAAAATTAAAGTTCAACGCCCTTTTTGTTGTGCACTAATCCGGTTTTTCCCCACTGATAATTCCAAAAAATTCCCCAATTTCCCTCCGAAAAAAGGAAAAACTTTAAAACTTTCTTTTAGGATCTGGACACTGAACTAACGCTGAGCTGTCAAATTGCTTCGTCCAAGCAAACGCAACAACAAGAGCAACAACAAACAAAGTCCCGCGTCTTCCTCTCCTCTTCTTCTCTGCATCGTGGTTGCGCTTCTCTGTCTGTACGGATTCCGACTGATACCAGAAACCAAACATGGCGAATTTCGACAATACACCGCCGGAGAATCATAACAAGGACGGGGAATCGTTGCCTCCTCCGCCCGTCGTCCTGCCTCCACCGCCGGGCGCAGGCCTCGGAGTTCCGCCGCCGATGGGCCCGGCGGCAGGGGACATGGAGTCCGGGTTCGGCGTCCGGGGAATCTTGAGGCGCTGGAGAAGAGAGGATCGGCTGAACAAAGCGTCGGTAATATGTAGAGGGTTGGGTTTCGTTTTCTCCCTCCTTGCTTTCATAATCATGGCCAGCAACAACCACGGCGACTGGATGAGCTTCGACAAATACGAAGAGTACAGGTGGAAATTATGGAGCTCTCTGTTTTCATTTTCCTTTTCTCTTATGATAAAAAGAATCTGAATTGGGAATTTGGGGTGGGGCCTCAGGTATTTGGTGGGGATAACCGTACTATCGACTCTGTACGCCGGAGCTCAGGCGTTCCGGCAGGTTCACGAGCTTCACTCCGGCAAATACACGATTCCGCTTCAGCGGCGAACTTCCGCCATCGTCGACTTCTGCAGCGATCAGGTAACGTCCTTGATGTAAAAGTTTCTGATCCTAGTTTTCAATTAAACAACCGATTGAATTTCGCTTTCGGATGGCCTAACTGGTCGGCCACTGGCATTTTCTTATTAATAGGGAGGTTAATTGCACAGTAATTCAACCCTTAAAATAATTACAGAGTCTAGTTAGCTGGGTTAATTGCGTGTTTATCATCGGAATTGTATTTGTATGTATGTCGTCATCAATGGCGAGTATAATATATGAAACAAAAGCAGAGGAAGCTTCTGTGATCCCCAAATGGACCCTCAAAATGGTTCAGTTTACACATCTGGATTCATGAATTTGGAAGCACATGGAAAATACAATAATATTTGAAGGGTCGGTCTTTCGACTACATGATGGTTTTTCTCTTTGGAATTTTTCCAGGTAGCTTCCTACCTACTTATGTCAGCAGCCTCTTCGGCAGTGCCTCTGACCAACAGAATGCGGGAAGGTGCAGACAACATATTCACAGACACATCGGCAGCAGCTATCAGCATGGCACTCCTCGCATTCATCGCCCTTGCTCTCTCTTCTGTCGTTTCTGCACACAAGCTCTTCACTCAATCTTACATTTAGAAGACCTCTTCTTCCCCCCACATTCATTCTCCTTCCTTCTCTTTTATGGGTTTTCATTCTTTTAGGGTTGACTTCATTATACATATATTCTTCTGTGTCTGTGTGTCTCTGTACTATTCGCGTACTAAGCTGTAGAGCTTCTCGTTTTCTTCTTTGATCTTTACCATTTGTACACAAAACACAGCAAAGGAAATGGGTTCCTGCAAATATATCATCTTTGTATTCTCACCAGCAACATGGGCAGGACAGAAAGATTAAAACTTTGTTGATACCTACTAACAGGGTAATTGAAATTTCTGTGCTACAACTAAAACAATGGCCATTTATGCATTGTTCATGAGTAAGTGGCCTCTGTAAAAAAACAAACGAACCAATGAAATCCCATTTTGTATCTGTATACAATATATCCCCCTCTCCTTATATAACTTATGAAGTATGACTGTTTTCTTTTTTCCTAAATTCTAATTGCTGCTGCAACCAAAATTGTAGTCCTTTTGGCTTGGTGGTATTCAGCTTAGCAGTGAATCAAGGAAGGATTCCTCCTTGGGTTCTTCCTTAGCTCCAGCAATCGCACCGTACTGCGACTGATGATTCATGTAAGACCCCCCCGCTGCTGTAGCTGTCGGCTTTCCAAAACCTGAGAACCCATAACTCCCTGAACCCTGCTGCAACATCTCCAGGGTGAACGGAGATTGATTCGAGTAGGCTCCGCTGCTGTTGGAATGATGACTGTTCATGACAGAGGGCCTAATGGGAATGGCTGCTGGAGTAGGGTTCGTTGCAGCTGTTGTTGGTCTGGTGGCGACATAGCCGCTGCCTCTTGCAGCAGGAACATCATGGTTGTGTTTCCCTTCGTAGGTTGTGATCACAGCTCGCAGGTCTTGGGATGCTCTCTCCACATGCTTCCTCACTGGACACCCCACGAATGTGCATTTGTAGTAGCTCCTGTGAAGAATCAAGAGACAACAGGGTCGGCCATTTGAGAATTCATCCAATGGATAATGTGTAAAAGAAATTGACTATAATCCAAGTATGAAAAGTGAAAACCAACCTTGGATTAGGGTTTCCTTTGACCACTTTCTGCCCATATTTCCTCCATCGATATCCATCATCAAGTATATCTATATCGCTGGTTGTTTGAACCACAACCCTTGGTTCCCTAACGGTTCTACTCCCACCGCCACCAACCAAACTGTCGTTCTCGCTCTGCCCTTTCCTGCAAGAAAGAGGGGGGGAATATCAGAAATGGTACTTAAAAGTTAGAAAGCAATTCAAAAACTCTACTCCCAGTTTTCAAAGCTTGAAGGGGAAGAAGAAAAAAAAAAACTCACCATCGTTTGGCGTCAGGTTCATTGTTGTCATCTTCATCGCCGGCAGAATTACTGAGCGGCGAGTTCTGTTCGAACTCATCTTCACCAACGGATAACGAAGAGTCGTCGTGGTGGGTTCCGGAACCCATTTGGCTGACCGATTGATCACCAATTTCAGGACTGCCGGCGGGTTGAACGGAATGATGAGAGGACTGCCTTGTGGACTGGGGTTTGGGATGGTTATGGCTGCCTTTGTAAACGATTTCAGTGATCTGTCCGTCTAAAGACCTTTCGACTTTCTTTTTGGTGGGACAATTTGGAAAAGTGCATTTGTAATAGCTTCTGGGGTTCTCGCTTCCTTTGACTTGCTTCTGGCCGTACTTCCTCCAGTTGTAACCGTCGTCCGATCTCCTGCTCTCCCTCATGTAATGAGCCGTCGGGTTGTGGTTGTTGTAGCTGGTTTGCTGCTGTGGAGCGGCGATGCTGTTGGTCTGAAACGGTATCGTTTCGGAGGAGAAGCTCTGGGTTGCAGGGAATTCGGATTTGATTTTGTCTGCTGAAGAGAGATCGGAAGGTTGGTGAGCGGCCGGCTTGTTAAAACTCCAGGCATCCTGTTGTTGTTGTTGTTGTTGCCTCTTGATTGAGTCCTGTAATCAGAATTCAGAAACCTAAATCAGCAACAGACCCAGTACAAGGAATTGGGGGGGGGGGGGGGGGGGGGGGGGGGAGGGTGAAAAGTCAAAACACGCACCGCGGAGACGACTTCGGAGGAAGACTGGAAGATGGATGACGATGAAGAGGAAGAATTGGGCCTGGTTTGGGGCTGGAAGGAGAAATCGGAATGGGTTTCCTCTTTCCCCTTCTGCTGCAGCTGCTGCTGATTGTTCCCGTTGCCGGAATAGTCGTTCCTCCAGTTGAATGTATTCTGGCCGGCGAAAGCTCCGGTGGTCGGAGATGGAAGAAGCTGCTTTCGAAAAGAAACACAGACAACATGAGAAAACAAAAACAAACAAGACCCAGAATTCCGTGAGTCGATTGAGACACTGGGTGTGGGTTGGTTTGTTGAATCCGGAAGAAGGAAGAAGAAAACTTACATTAGCGGCGGAAGAGAAGAGAACAGGGGAGTCGAGGAGGTCCGATGCGCTTAAACCAGGCGGGAAGGCGAAGTAAGAAGAAGGGGAAAGCGGGGGCGGCGAGAGAGGCAAGGAAGGAGGCGGGAAGGACTTGAATTTGGGGATTTCGAGCCCTCCAGTTCCAGTTGCAGGTCTGTTGTTGTTAAGGTGATGATCGGTTCCGTAGAGTCCCCAGCCGATTGTGTCCATTTCTCTGCTGTTACTGCTGTTGTTGTTGTTTCCGGTGAGGAGGAGATTGGTAAAAGAGGAGGATGAAGAAGAAGGAGGAGGAGGAGAAGACATGAAAATGGGAATTGAGGAGGAAAGGAGTAAGGCGGCCTTGTGGTTTATTTATAGGAGAATCCCAGTGAGACAAGGGGAAGGATGAAGAAGGAGATAGAGAAAGGGGTATAATGGGGTTTTCAGCAGGGGAAAGGAGGGAAGGCTTGGTTTTGGGTGGGTCCCGTCGTCCCCCGTTCTATTTCTTTCTTTTGCCTTGCAATGCAGTCTCTCTCTCTCTCTCTCTCTACGCTTCTTCTGAGAAACTAAAAAGGGCGAAGGCAGGAAGTTTGACCGTGGAAAAATGATTCTGGGTCAAACGTAGTGGCTTTGACTGGTCTGGCGCCATTTTGAAAAAACTGGCGGCGGCGGCTCGAACCTCGGCCCAAGCCCAAAGGCCTTCGCCCTTTTGCTAGCTTCTACGTTCTTGTCTTGATTCTGACAGTAGTACTCCTTTTGGATTTTGTTGGGATCGGAATTCCCTTTCTGTCTGCTTCTTTCTTATGGCTTTTCGTTTCTACGGTTGGCGTTTTGTGACAAACAGCGGCCATCTCCGGTAATGTTAAAATGATCCATTTGTTTCTTTGACTGTCCACACAACCCGCAACAAACGCTGGCAGGGCGGGCAGAGGCAGGTCTTTCTTACTCCAACCAAACACGCAGCGACACATATTTTGTACTACTTGTCATCGCAAGTTTTTTTTTTTTTTTTCAGTATCGTTACAGGTACAAAATGTCCCTTGTGTTAGAAACCCGCTCATAAAAGTAGGATAATTGTAATTATGATTAGTAGTTTTTATGGATAAAATAATTTGGGTGCCACTAAAGTAAGAGAATTGGGAGAGTTATACTACTTAAGTAAGAATAATACATCCCGTGCTACTAAATTTTATTATATGTGCATCCGGTAGCACTTAAGTTTACTGTCAAATGCATTCCGTTAAAGTTGACAAAATATTTTTAGAATATTCCATTTTCTAAATTCTAGAATGTGTCCTTTTACTTTTTGTTATTCTAAAAATTCATTTGAACTTATGAAAAACATCATTTTTTATTGTTTAGTTGGAATAATTTTTTGAAGACTGTTTTATACTGTTTGTGCCACGTAACCTGAGGCTCCCGACAGCTCGCTTCCTCCTCCTATCCTTCACACGCTCCCGCTCCGCGGACCTCTTCCTGCATGCAAAGGCGCCCGTCGAGCCCCCTTGAGAAGGGCTCGTTAGCACTCCGACGCCCAAGTCAGTACGATCTTTCTAGAGAGAGAAGTGAAATGTAGGTGTAGAGAGAAGATAGAACCTGAGTAAATGAGCTCCACCCACTTCACTATTTATACTCCAAGTAGAGTCGACCAGTGCCCCCCAAATCCGCCTACGTCATCATCCTATTTAATGCACCGTACTTTACCCCAGTCATGCGCCCCAACATTCTGACACCCGGCCCCGTTGCCGAGGCGCATGAGCCCACTTCCTATTCCCTCCGTACATCCCCGGCCGTTACCCCTTTTGTCGTTATGCGCCTTACGTCATGCTTGGGTCCCACGCCCAGGTCCCAACTTCAGGCCCCCTTTGGATGGGCTTTCTCTTGTCAGGCCCACATCCTTGGCCTTTCTCGACTCTTTGGGCTCTTCTTTTGGGCCCCTGAATGCCCCCAACAATTGCCCCCCAGTTAGGCGCCTACCCTCTGGTTGGGGCCTAACTACCCCGGCTTCTCTAGAAGCGCCTTCAGGTCGCCCTGCGTGCCCCCTCTTCCACCCATCCTTCCGAAGGCGTGCGCCTTCCTTCGTACTAAACCCGTTCGGGCTCCAACTCTCCCCTTCCGCTGTCTTGAGGGTTGCGCCTCATACACGCGCTTGCGCCCCTCCCCTAACAAGCCTCCTTCCTCTTCCCCCCTTCTTTCTTTGTATTAATCCCCCTTTTTTCTTTTTATTTGTTTATTGCGGGTGGACCTTTGGGCTTCCGCTTCGATCCTCGCCCTACTTTCCCCTCCCCCGAGGCTGAAACGGATTCAAATTGCCAATTTGAATTCGTTCCAGCCTAGGCGACCGTTCGTCTCCCTCCTTTCTCTCTCCCCTCCCCACTTTTCTCGCCTATAAATTGCCCCCCACTACCTCCTCCTTCCTCATTCTGTCAATTTGGCTATCTCTACTTCCTCTATCTACCTTGCTTCTTTGCAGCTCGCAAGTGCTTTTCCTAATTCTTCGGCCATCCCCCTTGGCCACTGCATTCTCTCCCGTCGACGCGCCTTTCCTCATGGCTTCCACCAACCAGTCCGGATCTCCAAAAACTGCGCCCGAGGGCGCCGCCGCTCTAAGTGTTGCGCCTCCCAGTGTTGCGCCTTCAGCGCTGCGCCTTCCGTTGCCCCCTCCGCTGCCCCAGGTACTTATGCGCCTTAGAATGATCCCCTTTTTTTTTACCGCGCTTATGTATATGCGCCGCGCCTTACGAGGATTTTCGTGATAATAACCACACCCCCCCCAAACTAATACCGTTTCTTGAGTGTTCCCCGCGTCTTCATTTGGGCATCTCCTTTTTTCATAGCCTTCTACCTTGAGCGCCTCTCTTGACTTCCTCCTCTTCTTCTGACGTAGGCACCCGCGCGCCTCGAGAGTACGGGATAAGCCAGTGGGGCAACATGTGGCCCCCCGGGTACATGCCCGCCGACATTGACCAGATGTCGGAGGAAGACGCCGGGCCTCCTCACGCGTCCAAAATTCTCTATTCGCGCTTTACGAAACTGATTCGGGCAGCGCAGATGCCGGCCGACTGGCGCTACGCCCACCCATCTCCTATCGCACGCGTGGGAGTCTGTGGCGAGGGGTGGATCGGCGTGTACCAGGAGTACGCGCGCTTCGGGCTGCGTTTCCCTATTGACCCCATACTTGAAGGCGTTCTACATCTGTGTCAATGCTCCCTTGGGCGCCTTTCGCCTGTCATCATCTTATACACAGTACTTTTCCGCCTCAAATGCCGCCAACACAACATCCTACCCTCCTTCAAACTCTTTCGCCACTTCTTTACCACGGTCCGAAGTCCCAACTGCTTCAGCCTGCAAAAGCGCCCCAAGTTGAAGTACAACTTCATAGGTGTCGGGAAAAAAATGGGGCGCTCATGGTTTGAGTCTTTCTTCTTTGTCCGCCCCCGTGACACGCCCTTCTTCGAGAGCGGCGCGGCGCCTCTTACGCAGTGGTCTTTCGGGGATGAGAGCAAATTCAACAAACACCTCCCTCTCAACAAGGCAGAGGAAGACATGGCGCGGCGCCTTGCGTCCGTGCCAATAAATCTGAAAATATGTGACGAGTATGCTCGTCTCTTAGCAGAGTTCTATGACGATGGTAACTTCTTCACGTCGATTGCATGCGCCTCTTCTCTTTTCTGTGTTTCGATGCGCCTGACTAACACTCATGCTTTTTAATTTTTTCTTTGCAGGCACTGCCTTCACCAGTGTCTCAGACCTCATTCGCTCGAAGCTCCAGCTGGTTCCGTCTGCGCCTCGCGGCCGCGGCCAGACCCGTAAGGCGCCAAAGGCGCCAACTGCTCCAACCCAACCTCCTCCCAAGAAACAGTGCGCGTGAGGATTGTCTCTAATCCGACTGCGCCTGTGACCCGCGCTCCTTCCCCTGCGGTTACCGAAGCGCCTCAGGCATCCCACAGTTCCCCCATCGATATCGACGACGACGCCTCCCCCTCGCACAACAGTCAAGGCGCCTCTCTGTCGCCGCGCAGCCAGGGTGCCACCTCGCAGACGCCGACCCACGCCTCCCATGCCACGGCCTCAGAAAAGAGGCCTGCCTAACCGCTTCTCTCCGCCGCGAAGAAAGCCAAACTGGATCGAGTGGTAGCTTCGGGCGCCAGCCAGCTTGGTTATGCCAACCGTGGGGCCGCATACCGGGAACATTCTGCCCCCATACCTTCAGCCGCCTTCCCGGCCGTTAGAGAAGGTTGTCGTGGGCGTGCCTGTCAGGGCGGCTAAAGACCAGGGCGCCACAATGCAGATGGTGCTCTCCCACGCCGCCGTGATCGAGCGCCCAGATCACCTCAATTCCAACCGTCCGCTCCGTACCATGGCCAACCTCAACGTGCAGGTAAGGCGCCCCTCCCTTTATCCTTGAGAGCTGCATACTTGATTATTTTTACCGAGTCTAACTTTGGTGCGCTGTACGTGAGCCAGATGATGATGCTGATTGAATCCACCGCGCGTGTGTTTGAACAGCTGGCCAAGGAGAGTTCAGCCTCCGAAAGCGCAACTAAGCGCCTTCGGGATGAGTTGGCGGCCGCTCGGGATGCGCATGAGAAGCTGACCCAAGCCCGGGACGAGGCGCAAAAAGAAGCCCAGGCTTGGGCGGCCAAACTCTCCACCGGCCTTGAGGCGGAGCGGGACAAGATTAAGGCGGCCGTTGAAAATACATGTCAAGAGCGCTACGAGGCGCAGGCTGCCGCCATGCAGGCTGAGATGGCGGAAGTGGAGAAGGGGTTGCGCGAGAGGCAGGCGTAGCTGACAGGAGAGCGGGACAAGTATTACGAGGAAGCGGAGCGGTTCCGTGCCGAGGCGCGTCGGTTCTCGGAGGAACTGAAGATGGCCACCCGGGCCAAAGATCAGCACAAGAAAGAGCTGAAGGCGGCTGAGGCAAAGGTAGAGCGCCTTGAGAAGGACCTGTCCGAATACCACAAGTCGGACGTGGGGAAGAACCTCCAAGCGGATACGGTGATTGACACGGTGAAGATCCTTCGCGAGAAGGTCATCAAGGATCATCCGGAGGTGGAGTGGGACTCCATTGCCATGATCATGCATGTCCTCAAGTTCATGGACAGTGGTCGCAAGGCTAGCGAACTGGAGCCCTTTGCGGGGCTGGAAGTCGCTTCGCCTAACGCCGGAGAGGAGAAGGCGGATGAAGAAGAGGAGGCGTACGAGGAGGGGGATGAGGAGGAAGATGAAGGCACAACAGATGGTGAGGATGCGGGCGAAGGGCGCCTCCCCGAGCCGCAGGGGACACCCGAGGGTGCAGTGTGAAGTGAGGACGAGTGATAGGGCGTCCGAACTATTCTCCCGCTACTTGTTGTTTTCAGTTTATTTTCCTTGTGATGTAACTTGTGAATTTCCCTTGTCAATGAAATCCCAATGTTTCCCAACTATGTGGCGTTGCTCCTGTGCGCCTTTAATAGAGTCATTATTAAGGGCGCGTTTTGTAGGGCGCATTATGCAAACCAATTCCGTATAGGGCGCGATAAGTAGGGCGCTTTAATGTAGGCATTTTCTTAATACCGGGCGCAAAATGTAGGGCGCAATTGTAGGGCGCTTTACGTTACGCATTTCTATAATCCTATGCCGCCAACGGAGGGCGCATAGACTTGGGCAATAGTGAGGCGCAAAAGTGGGGCGCTTTACGGTAAATGTTGCTAGTGTTAAGGCGCAAAAGTAGGGCGCTTTACGTTACTCATTGCTATAATTCTATGGCGCAAAAGGAGGGCGCCTTACAATCATCTTCCTCGGCGCGTGGGGTGACGCGCTTGCAGTAATATTAATCCCCCTTACATCTAACTACTTACCCTCAACTATGGGCCAAAATTTGGGCACCCCTCCCCTTCCTGGCGCGCCAATTGTTTATGCCACGTAACCTGAGGCTCCCAACAGCTCGCTTCCTCCTCCTATCCTTCACACGCTCCCGCTCCGCGGACCTCTTCCAGCACGCAAAGGCGCCCGTCGAGCCCCCTTGAGAAGGGCTCATTAGCACTCCGACGCCCAAGTCAGTACGATCTTTCTAGAGAGAGAAGTGAAATGTAGGTGTAGAGAGAAGATAGAACCTGAGTAAATGAGCTCCACCCACTTCACTATTTATACTCTAAGTAGAGTCGACAAGTGCCCCCCAAATCCACCCTACGTCATCATCCTATTTAATGCACTGTACTTTACCCCAGTCATGCGCCCTAACATTCTGACACTCGGCCCCGTTGCCGAGGCGCATGGGCCCACTTCCTGTTCCCTCCGTACATCCCCGGCCGTTACCCCTTTTGTCGTTATGCGCCTTACGTCAGGCTTGGGTCCCACGCCCAGGTCCCAACTTCAGGCCCCCTTTGGATGGGCTTTCTCTTGTCAGGCCCACATCCTTGGCCTTTCTCGCCTCTTTGGGCTCTTCTTTTGGGCCCCCAAATGCCCCCAACATATACCAAATCAATTTTTGAAAAATAAATTAGAATCAATTATCATTATAAGTATTTTCCATTATCATTATATGTTCTAATAATTAAATTATTCACTTAAGAAAATAAATCCTATGAATCCTGTCTTGATATAATAATCTGAGGATGTTATATTTAGTTCTCTTACATCATGCTCATCTTTTCTAATTTTCTATATTAAATTTCCTTTTAATTCTCTAATATTATGTATATGTTTCATATTATTTAAAATTACTAATTGTAATTCTCTTCCTATAGTCATTTTTTCTAGATTTATAGCTTTTATAGTTTACACATATCTTCTTTGGTCTTGATGTATTGATGGTCTATTAGGTTCTATTTTAAATTTTTTTAGTGGTGCTTCTAATTGTATTAGGAGTTTAAATAGATCTTTTAATATTAATTTTATATATGTATTATTATCTTCTAGTATATTTATTACTCCTTCTTTATATTCATTTATTATTTTTACTAATTTATCTATTTTTTTAAAAATATCCATTAGTCATTCTAGTAATACTATGTTTAAAAGGTTTTTTACTTTTTATATCAGATAATATTTGTTGAAATATTATTTTTGATGTTTTAAAAAGTTTTGGGTGTGTTCCTAACTAGCAAGGATGTTGCTAGTACCATTTTTGATGAAATGAAAGATACCCGATTCATAAAAAAAAAAAATGGTACCAAAAGGTAATTGAAGTTTTGGGTTGGATGAAAAACTAGACGGATGCATCTTTTGGCGACTTTAATGGTAACTGACACCCTATTTAAACTTAAGTGGTATGTCTTCCCCAATTCTTAAACTTAAGTGGTACCCAAGGTATTTTACCCTTTTTAGTCGAACTTGGATTATTATTAGATTTTTTTTGTCTTATTTCCCTATAAATATGTATTTTCGGTTTACGTCATAATCAGTCAAGAATAATATTACAGAAAATATCTCTCAACCCCTAGCCTCTAATCTCTCTCTCTCGTCCCTCTTCTTCCCTAAAGGTCGCGGGTAATCCTTCCCAAACATTTTCCAATCCTGTTCTTCAATTCTTCTTTCATAAATCCCTAATTCTTACCGATCATCTATCAAATCAATAAATCCCTACTCGTTATGAGGAATCATGGGTGTCGAAGATCGGTTCCTGGAAGCCTTAGAAAGTGGCATTCTGACAGTGATATTAGAGCCTAGTTGCAGGCACTCGTACTAGAGCCATGTCGAGATTTGAAGAGCTCTCAATGAAAGAACTTGCAAAAGTTCTTAAAATGGAGTTGGAAGTTGTGGGAGACTTTCAGCGACAGGGTCGCTATGTTTAAGACGTTCGTGGCACTGCCTCTTTGCGCACAGTAGTTCGACTCGCCCGTCGTCTCAAGGATAAAATAGCCTTCTCTTCTTACTGGGCGGTTTTTTTCAAAACCTGGAGCTCCTTGAATTCACTCTCTCTAGTGTTTCAGCTCGTTTTTGGTGTGTTTAAGGGTCTGAGGGGTCAGCAATCTATAGTTGCCGAGACCTTTAGAATATTCCTCTTTCGTGGGAAATAAGTCACGATAATTAAGGATATAATCACGCCATGAATTAAATGTCTCTATTCAGATAATTCCTAATGTATTATCCCTCGAATATTCATTTTTAATCAATTACCTCATATCTATTAAGGATAAAGAATAATTAACCAATAATTAATAAATAAATAATCTCATAATTTTGCAAAAAAATATTAGTCCCAAGTCGATCCACTCACCCACTCACTCGCTCGGGCATAAACTATGGTCTCTCTCGATTTGAACCTTAGCTTAGTGGTTACACTTCCGATGTCATAAGAGTGACTCATAGTCTTAAACTCTATCTCAGATAATGTAGCACAGTGGATCTTTTCAATGAGTGTTATTCACTTGTATACCGTACTTTTATAGCCCTGCACATTATCTCGATTTAGTGAATGCTCTAGCAACTTTGTGCGTCCAAAATTTCATAGGGAGCGGCCACAGTCCCACATTCACGTAGATGAGTCTATCAGAAGTACCCCCAAAGTAAAGTACTCCACCCCACATATGATATAGATCTCATTAAGAGTTTTTAACTCAACCTCCATTGATTTGCGATTCATGCTTCACTATGCATGAACTTTTCGCATACTACTTATGACTTGTTATTACCTATTGAACCCATTTCTTGGATCTACAGTCTATTGGGTCGGGTTATCATCATTTGTAGCCCATGGTTTGATAGGCATAAGTCTCATACCCTTGGCGGTATTTTGGACTTTCTATCTAGCTAATCCTTTCGTTAAAGGATCAACTAGATTCTATTCAGATCTTACATTATCCACATTCACTGCCCCTATCATTAGAAGTTCTCTTACAATACTGTGAGCTTACAACGAATCTACCATCTATTTCTGTTATAAAACTAGTTCTCAACTTTAGAGATAGTTGCGGTGCTATCACAATGGATCAATACCAGAGAGATCAGTCTTTCCCATAAGGAAATCTCTGACAATAATCCTCTCAACCAACTCACTTCTTCACTAGCCATTGCTAGTGCTATAATCTCTGATTCCATACTTGATTGAGCTAGGATTGATTGTTTCTTAGACTTCCAAGACACAGTTCCTCCAACAATGTTAAAAACAAAATCACTGGTTGCCTTGGAGTTGTTTGATAAGGTTTCCAGTCCCCATCACTATACCCTTCTAGTAAAATAGGAAACATTTGATAGTGTTACTAGGGAAGTTATTAAACTTGCCAAGTAATCCCATGACATATGCAATGTTTAGTCGAGTGTAATCCACTGCATAACAGAGAGTGCCAACGATGCCAACATTATCTGATTGCCTTACAGTATCTCCGGTGTTCTAGAATAGCTTTATACTAGCATCATACGAAGTACACACATGTTTATAGTCAAAATAGTTATAATTCTTCAAGATTTTCTCTATGTAGCCAGATTGATCTAGAAAAAAGCTATTTGTTGTTCTAGTTATCTGGATTCCAAACATAAACTTAGCTTCACCCAGATCTTTCACCTCAAAGTTCTCTCTCAACATGGCTTTAGCTTCATTGACCACGTGAATATTTGTACCAAATGTCAACATGTCATCTACATACAAGCGTATGATAGTGCAAGTGTTATTTTGTGATTTGTACTAAATACACTTGTCACTTTTATTCACCTTAAAGACATAAGAGAGGTTGTATTTCTCCAATTCACTTGGGTATTGTGAACCCTAGTCTATAAATGTGATAGGTTGTATGGATTGAATGTTATGTGTGTGGGTTAGTGTTTAATACAATGTTTGATGTATTTTTTCATGATTCTTCAATGGTGTTTTTCATATCTAAAAGTTAGGTCAAATTGACCTAAGTGGAGGAAATCCCCCTTTGGGCCTTAGGAAGCTAGATTTCTTGACCAATTGGGTAACCCCGTCTAGGGTGATTGAGGGCAAGCCTCGAGCATCGGATTAGTGCCATGAACCTATCATGATTGGTTGCTTTTTCGTCGTTCTAGATTAGTTTTCGAGAGAGTGGTCTTAGCCACCCGGGTGAAGCCTTCTCACATTGAAACCACCTCAATTTACTTTCTTTGCTTGCTTTCAAATGTAGTTCTTTAGCTTTAAGTCCAAATCGCTTAATAAATAACAATTTAAACGATTGAAGTAGGAGTACATGGACCGACTTGGGTTGACAATTAAAACGTTTGCCCTATACTACACCCTACTAGAATTTGCACTTGGGCTTTAGTTGGGATTTAATTGTTTAGTTAGGAAGGAGTGAGTACCTTGCAACGATAGAGCTTAATAGACACATGGCATATGGTGGCAACTTACATCCATACACTTCCTTGTCACATTATTTTTTATGTCGTTACAAGCCTTCAGCTAGCCTATTCGCGGCCGACCTGCATAGCCCAACAGGATTATGGGATTAATTTCATGATGAAAAAAAAATAAACAATAGTCCATTTTTCCATATTGATTGATTATTGTTTATATATTATATTAGTATCATATTATTTAGTTCATAAATTTTAGGACTTTGCTACGGTGACATGCATGTCACGGTGACATGCACTTTTCGGTCGACCTCATATAGGATCAGGTCGACCTAATCAGTTGTTTCAGTGTAAAAACAGTTTCATGGTGCCTACTTTGGAGATTCATATCTTACAATTGGCTAGATGGAAATTGGAGATTAAAGGCTTGTTTTGAAGCTGAAGTGTCCATCTACACATTAAAGTACTTGGGAGCTCAATAGAAAGTCCAGAAGACCTTTTTTGAATCTGACCAAAAGGCTATGCCAAAATTGGGAAACTGCCTGAAAATGGCTAAGTCTGGCAACGTGTTTATCAAGCCTACTTTGGAGCTCAATTTGAGAATCATGGATGCGAGTCAAGTCCAGGGGCCTCTACCACGTTAAATTACGTATTTTTTTATACAAAGGCAAGGCATTGGATGAAAGATTCAATATCTTTAAGGCTTCAAACAAAAATCTCGAAGTTGCTACGAAGGCTGTTTTTCTGGCAGCTTGTTTGTGCTCAAAGTCTGCCAGAAAAACAGCCTTCGTAGCAACTTCAACCCTTTTGTTTGAAGCCTTAAGATATCCAATCTTTCATCCAATTCCTTGAATTTGTATAAAAACATACCTAATTTAACGTGGTAGAGGCTCCTGGACTTGACTCGCATTCATGCTTCTCGAATTGAGCTCAAAAATAGACTTCACAAACACGTTTCCAGACTTAGCCATTTCTAGGCAGTTTCCCAGTTTTGGCATAGCCTTTTGATGAGGTTCAAAAATGGTCTTCTGGACTTCTTATTGAGCTATCAATCACTTCAATATGTAGAGGGACACTCCAGCTTCAAAACAAGTCATTAGTCTTCAATTTCCATCTAGCCAATTGTATGATATGAATATCCAAAGTAAGCACCGTGAACTGTTTTTACACTGAAACAACAGATTAGGTCGACCGGATCCTATATGAGGTCGACCGAATTCTAAATGAGGTCGACCTAATCCTAGCTGAGGTCGACCGGAAAGTGCAAGTCACCGTGACATGCAAGTCACCGTGACATGCATGTCACCGTAGGCACACCCTAAATTTTAACTAATTCACATCATATTATCTACTAGTAATTAATATCTAACCAATCTATTTAAATGATAAATAAAATATATTTGATCATGTACTCAAAATTTTAAGCATCGTATATAATTATATATTTAATCTAATAAATCTATGAATTAAGACAATTCATAAATTATAAATCAATATAATCATAAGATCATGTTGAATTACATCGCTAGACAAATTATTGAATCAATTCATGAGTTGAGCTACACATTCCACAAGTGATCCGTTCGTGAGCATTGGAGTGAATATTTATGTTGCTAATTTTACCGACACGTCTAACTGTTTTAAAAACTTGAGTATGTTTTGCTTATTTGGCTTTTTCCATTGATTGATTAAATAAATAAGAAATTTTAAAGCACTGTCTGCAGTGAAACTAATAAGAATTTGATAGATGCTGTTATAATGCTAAAGTAATGGGTGGGGCATTTAGATTGATCACATGTGGCGGCTAAAACTGGAGTGGAAGAAGAAGAAGAAAAGAAGAAGAAGGTACTGCTCTAATCGCTAGATTAGAATACAATAATAACACTGTGGAATTGTTAAATGAATGGCCAGCTCAGACGGCTGGCCCCAGCCGTTTAAGCTTCTCATCTGCCCCTCAACGGCTTTGTATCTTGGAGTTCCCACATTTGCCCTTCGTTTTGACCCAGTCTTATGTTCTATAACCAAAATAAATCCAAAAAATGTAAAGCATCTAGATACTTCAGTTCGAACAAGGGGTTGATGGTGTAGTGGTTAGTAATGCACTCAAATCAAATCGCAATTTTAACTAGAAAAGAGATAAATCCGTGTAAAGTGTAGAACTAAACGTAAAAGTGTAAGTTGTTTACGGATACCGTAAAATAGCTAAAAATGTGTTAATTACGACGTATTATATAAAATATGAGTGTACATAATTGAGATAAGTTAATACATACTTGCAATTCATATGTGAAGTAATGAACAAGGATTTGTCCTAGTGGTATTAACATGGAGGTCTTAGGTTCGAATCCCTTAAGTAGTACCTTAATTACAACAAAAAGTAAAAAAAAAAATTATATCACCCTTATAAAAAAAATCATGTCTAAAGTTGAGCAACTCATAACATCTTAACAATCTACACAATAAATAAAAGCCAAATGAGAAAACTTGAAGCCTCATTTCAAATTTCCTGCATCCAGAGTGAAAGTAGGAAGGACATTTTGGTCTTCACAATGACTTTTTTTTATTCATTAAAAAGACACTTACTAGGATTCGAACCATGACCACTTTAAAGAAAAGCAAAGATCACAACCAATCACACTAAGTACATTTGTTGTATCTTTTTAAATTAAAAACATATAATCGAATAGAGAAAAAACCATTCCCCCATTTCAAATTCCCTGCTCCAGGAGCGTTTGTAGGAAGGGTAGAATAGGGAGTGTCAATTTTTTTCTTTTTCCTCTGTGGAACGGGCCAACTTACCGTACACATGCGGATTTAAACGGGTCCAGGAGTGTCAATTTTTTTCTTTAAGTCCTTTATCTCTCCGTGGTGGTAAAATATATATGAAAAGGCAAAAACAATACTCCTTTTTTATTGCTAAAAAGAAAAAAAATTAACAATAAACTAATGCATGGATTCTAATCTGCTAACCGCTAATCATAAAATAAAAGAGTTGAATGGGTCTGACCTACACGGGATTTTCCCATCAAGTAAAACAAATGAACATCATGGGTTTGACATTCTAAAACAAGCTATTTTCTCTAGCATATATATATTATGCTATTATTTTATATCTTAGTGGCTAAAATATAATGTATTTTAAAGTTATTCAATGGTTCAACCTCGACCAACCCAATTAGTCCAATTTTTATCATTTCAAATATATATTATGTAATTATTTGATATTATAATGATTAAATTATAGTGTATATTATAGGGAATCGTTTGGTATTTGTTAGTAAAAAAACTAAACAGAAAGATCAATTTGGTTATTTTTAACATTAAAACGATCCTATACATTTTCAGTTTCCTTTCGAAATTCTATAGTTTTATTCCCGAATCAGTGATGTGCAAATGGTGAATTGCAGTCATCTCTTTTCTTTCATTATTGTTTATTTTCAAATAGAAAGTTTAAAAGTAAAGAATAATTAGAGTTTGGCATGGGTCGGTCAAACAGGCTGAATTTCAAGTTTTGGCCCGTTTTGATCAAGTCTAATTTATAATCACATGGTTCCCTGATACCCGATAAAAATCTCAATCCAAATCAGTTTGGCAGGTGAGTCCGTGTTTACCACCATTTTCTAGGGATACATGAACGATGGTTCCTATCCCAAATCGTGTTGTTCATTCTTGATTTCTTTAGATTTTATCATGGCTTGGCAAAAAACCAGAAAGCACAATGATGACAAGATGAAAGTTTTATAAAGCAAATTAATCGACCAACGGGCCGAGTAAAAGCTAGCATACATTGTGAGATGCTCATTTCCCAAAAACCGGAGGGATAGGCGATTTTTTATTCGATTTTCTGGAATTTGGTTTCTGTAAAACTTACTCCACCTCGTCATATTACCAGAAACAATATTGTTTCACAATGTAACAGGCACTTGATTTTGGTTCATAAGGCTGATTTTTGATTCGTTGCATCATTCATGTTTCTTTCCTACTAAAATTCACTATTTTTATCACGTGTTTCCAAAAAAAAAAACTATACAACGATAAATTATACACTCCATTACATTATCAAATTTCATACTTCACCTTCCTCCGGCCAAATGGTCGGGGTCCACGCTAGTATATTCATAAACATAGATCTTAACAATAAGGCACATGTATGTATTTTTTTAATCTAAAATGTAATATATTGTTGGTGATTTATCTTCAAAATGTATCTTTGATGATTAATTTCATGAATAGAATACCCATTTAGTAAACTAGAAGCGTAAGACCGTAAGCTTTAAAGTACAATTTAGTCCGATTTTATACACTTAAAGATTTTATATGGAAACGAAAGTGTTTTGACGCTATAGAAGTATAAAACCATAAGATTTAAATTTTATGTATGATTTTAACTGGATTAGTGGTTAGTACTTTGAACTTTAAATTCAGCGACCTGGGTTGGACGCCCGGTGAGACCTATCATCTATCCATCCTTTCGCTTTATTTTTCACTTATTATTCCCGTTTTCACTGTTTCCAATCGCCTCCCACGATTATGTTCATGGAAGTGCGAGAAGGGATTGGTTTGGACAATGTCAACCAATGAATTAAAAATGCCAATGCTTACCTGGTCAGCCCAACCTCCCAAAGTCCCAACCCAAAATATAACCACCCGTACGTACGTACTGCAGTTACTTGAAACCCAGCTTGTACGGTCCGAGACAAGTTTTGATTTCACACCTGTAAAAAAAAACCAACTCAAAGCAACAACGTGTTCGACAGATCGGGCATGCATTTTCAGTTTCCTTTCTATTGCTCGTTTTTTTGTTTGATGTTGTACAACAAAGAAAAGAATGTCCACACTGGCACAATACAACTACAAATGCGCCTAGCCTAGCCTAGCCTAGCATGTATTATTCTATCACCTTTCTTTTCTTCTTCGTTATGACTTAACTCTTGGAACAATAATACATGTGGCAAAAACACAACACCAAACCATAGCATCTGGTTTTCTATTGATAGATAGGGACCAAGGAGAGTACAAAGCAGCTATGGAGGTTTTGTTTCAAGTGTAACCACCATCAGAAGGTTCCGGTTCCTTCATCACTTCGTCTACTCTCTCCAAACTGCTCGTGGATTGCTACTGCAGACCGTCTGTTAGTTGCTTCACAAGCTTCCTTTCACTTCCTTTGCTTGACTTCAACTGGGGTCTTAAAACAAGCCGTGCTTCCTCGTTGCCATTGGCGGCTCGATGGAGGGTTTCCTATTGAGCGACATCCTCTAGTTGTAGCTTCCAGCACTGTGGATCTAACTCAGCCTGCGGACCATCCACATAACCAAAGATTTCAGCACCGTGAATCAAATTCCCGTAACATGCTTCTGACTAAATATGTGGGCTATGAACAAACATACCTGAAACTCTTTGTCTCTCCATTCAAATACACAGCCACGAGCTTCCAGGTGTTCAAAGAGAAGCTGGGGAAGCAATGGTTTGAAAGAAGCATGGAGTTTCACTTTTATTAGTCCGCCACAGGCCAGCAAGGCAGCCGCCAATCCGCTGGCAGTTAAGCCTTTCAAGTGTAACACAGTTATGCTCTGTAGGCAGCTGATGCTGGCGAGCGACAGCAACCCTACATCCGTGACTGAAGTATATGATAGCGTAATCTGCGTGCGCACACAAAAAAATCACACAACTGTCTGTAAGCGCTAAAAAAAAGCATTTTACTCAAATGATTTGTTTATAACTAAAAAAAGCTGGTGGAGGGGAGGGTTTTCTTTTACCTGTCTGAGGTTTTGGGAAAAGTGAGAAAGTGGAAGCATCCCTGCATCACTAATGTTGTGACACTTCTTTATGTCTAGCTTGTTGAGCTGCCTACACCCTACAGCAATTGCTGCTAGCCCTAAAGATGTGATCAGAGGACATCCTCTGCTTTCAAAAGTCTTGAGCTTTGAACATTTTGATAAACATATGAGGGAACTGTCTGTGATGTCCTGGCAATAGGACATATTGATCATCTCTATATCAGGACACCCTGAAGCAATTGCTAAGATTCCAGGATCTGTAATTCCAGCCGATCTGCAGAAATCAAACACACAAAAGTTGTGAATAAATATGTTTGGTGGTGCCTCTAGTTTACATACAGCACCATAAAAACAAGCAGACAGAAAGAGGAGCGGAAGGGAACAAAAATAGATTGAAGCTGCACACCTGTAGAGGTCAAGCTCAGTGAGCTTTGAGCAGTAGGCCCCAATATGAGAGAGTCCATCGTCACTTATATTCAGACAAATCCCTAATTTCAAGCTAGAGAGTTTGGCACACCTTGAAATGGACTTCAGACCTGAGAAAATAGAAGCATTAAGCAAACCTTTCAAGACAGAGTATCTCACCTACATACACTACTAGAGTTGGTTAAAAAAGGGGCAAACCTTCATCATCAATCTCATTATCAGTCAAATCAAGCTCCTCAAGGAAATGACATCTTTGACCAATCAAGACAAATGCTTCTCTCGGGACCAAGGTACATGACTCCATCCTGAGAGAAGCTAGATTGGTGCAAGTGCTGGTGATATGGGCAATCGAAACATCGGTTATCTTGCGGCAGCACGTGATATCCAGTTTCTTCAGATCTCTTTGCTTTATTACAAGGGAGGAAAGGCCATCATCCGTCACTCCCACACACTTGCTTAGACTCAACTCTTTTAGTGATATACACAAGCTCCCAATGGCCTTCAATCCACTGGATGTGACGAAGCAACCATCGAGTTTTATAGATTGCAAGGAAGGAAGCATTTTCAAGCTGTTTGCAAGAGCAAGAGTGACCTGTGCACCAAAACGGTTATCAGCAATTAATGAGTTATTAATATGTAAAAGTCCACAGCGGACACAAAACCATGAGTGCTTTCTGGGTGCACGTATTGAACACTTACCGAAGAGCCATATGCCAAAGTGAGCTGTTCTAGTCTCCCTGCGCCACTGATTAAGGAAGATAAACCAACATGGGTAATGTTTTGACAACTAGACATGTCAAGCATCTGCGAAGGAAGATAGAAACCTAGTAAATATTTGGGAAATATAAAGAAGTTGACTCCTGTCAAGACTAGGAGTTGAATGCATACGTGTTGCAAAAGACAGAATTAATCGATGAAGCTGTCCACTAGTGTTATCCAAACTAGGAAGCCATATTTTCTAAATCACGCCGGTAAGTTAGATGGAAAGTTATGAAAGTAAAATGAACCAGAACTGCTCTCCCCTATGAAAACAAGGTGCACTAAATCCATCTTCATTTCTAGAGCAAGGTGGCAGGTTACAAAACAAAGCTTTGTTCAAAATAGGTGAACAGTAGTATATTACCTTGAGCGATTTGCAGCCATGTTGAAGTGCAGCAAGACCATCATCGTCTATGCCAAAGCATCCTTCTAGAACAAGATCTTCAAGGTATTGTAGTTTCAGAATTGCTGGTAAACATTCATTTGTAACCTGCAAAAGAGAAAAGGATTGCTCCAGTAAATGAACCATACATCCAATCTATCTAAAAATGGAAACAAAAAGTGGAACGGGGCACTTCATCTCCAGCTGCTCTCAATGAATGAAACCTAAAACTATGGCCAGATACATAAAGAAAAGGAAACTAAAAAGGGCACAATTAGAAACAACACAATTCACACAGAAATTTTGCGAAATCTCCAATTCAGGGAATTCTCAATCCTCACTCACCGGCAAGTAAGAAAGATCCAGACTCCGAAGCTCCTTGCACTTGACAGCAATCAACTCGACGCCCAAATCAGTAACGCCTAAACACCACTTAAAGCTAATCAATTTGAGCTTCTTACAACCAACCGCGATACACCCAACTCCCATATCGGTAATCAACTTACACCTCCCCAACCAGAGCTTCTCGAGGTTCTTAGCCTCGGCCACCGCGGAGGCGGCGGCGTCCCTGAGCTGGGTGGCATTGGACAAGTCAATTTCGACCAGATTCCTGCAATTCAAAACGAGGCTGAGCAGCCCGCTGTAGGAGAAGAACCTGGAGCGGGAGAGGTCGATGGAGCGGAGGGAATCGGCGGAGGAGGTGCGGGAGACGAGGGCGAGGGAGGCGTCGGTGATTCGCGGGCAGAGGGAGAGGTCGAGGCGGGCGACATTGGGGTAGCGGGAGAGGATCCTGGGGAGGTGGTCGTGGCGGAGGGGCCGGAGAATCCGGCGGTGGCGGGACTCGACGAGGTAGAAGGATCTGCAGACCATGGAGAAGGACTTGGTGTCGAGCGGGCTGGAGGCGGCGAGGAAGTCGAGGATGGCGAAGACGATCTCGTCGGAGAGGAGATCGAACAAGTTGTAGGCTGCGGCGGCGGAGGTGGTTTGGGTGGCGGAGTCCGTTCCGGTTGCTGTGGCGTTTCTGTGCCTCTTCATGACTGTGAATTCTAAGAAATGGTTGGTCGCCGGCGGAAGGGCGGTGGTGGTTTTAACGGTTGAAACCGGAAAGGGAGAAGGTAGTTTGGTTGCTAGTTGCTAGGCAGAGGCTGGGTGGGTTGGGTTGGGTTTATTGGCCTTATTGCTGCTTATTAATTAGGTACGGAGAGAGAGAGAGAGATAAGAGGGAATGGAGGAAGTGGGTGATCGCTGATCAGCTATTCATTCAGAAGTCATGTGGTGATGATGATGATGGAGAAAGAAAGAGAGAGGGAAGATATACGGAAATTACGGCAATGGACCTCTCTTCCCGCAATGACTTGCAGGCAGCAGGGTCTCCTTTATTCTTCATTTCTTATTTCGATTTAAGTTATAAGGACAGCTCTACCCCTGCCCATTTTCCTTTCTTTCTCAAGGTTTTTAACGTGAATAAATGAGTGGTTTGGAATCTCCGATTTTGAATAATAAATTTGGATAGTGTATTAGTGCTAATATATTATACTACTCATTAAAAGAAAGGGAATTACATTCCTAATATGCATATGATGCTAATAAGTACATTTTGCCGGAGTATACTATTTTTCACATCTACGATTTCAAATAACTTTTAGGGATTATGATTTACGAGACCACACGTTATATTGATGGGTCAGACTCGTGTGTTTTTTGGAGCATACTATGCTCCGTGTACTCATAGTGAGATATCTCTATCTAGAGGAGTTGACCCACCATTTCTATACCCTAACCTCAAATGGATAAACCCCAGCCCCCGATTTTCTAATCCCAAACTCAAAGTTCAATTTAAGAGAAAAGAGGAGTTGGCCGTTGATATAAACAAACACAAATAATAAAGAAACACAAAGAGTACATTATGTATTATATACAGTGTCCATGATACCGTACCGTACCGGCGGTTAAACCACGAAATATCAGTATTGGAGGCTAAACCGATAGGCGATGTTTACCGGTATAACGGTTGAACTACGATTAAACCACGGTTTTACCATAAAATACCCTACCGCTGACTTTCCCGGTACGGTGTCCGGTACGGTTTCATGGGCCATAATTATATATATATATATATATATATATATATGTGTGTGTGTGATAAACAGGGCCGAGGGGCTTTTGGTAAAAACCTTAAGGAGGGGATAGCCTTTCCAGCGAAAAAGAAAATTGAAAAGGGCAAGTTATTATATAATATAGAAAGAGAGGGAGAGGGAGAGAGTGGGGTGATGGAAGCAGCGTACGGCGAAGGACGGATAAGGACGGAGAGTAAGCAGCGAACAGGCAGTGAGGGGCAAATAGGGGAATTCGGGTCCGGGTTCGGTGGGGACGGAATGGAAAGGAAAGAAAGGAACTCAACTGGGACAATTCGCGCTTGGTGGAGAAACTATGCGAGGACGGGACGGGACGGGAAGGTAAGGAGTAAGGACAGATTCATCAAGTGAAGTGCATCCTTTCTGTACCCTCCTAAACCCTATTCTATACTTAATACTATACTATAACTATTATTATCAAACAAAAATTCCCAAACCACCATTCCAAATCGAATCTAATATGCAAAAAAAATCTAATTCGATCACAATATTCGCGCACTGATAAATAATAATTACGGCCTTAAGCTGAGCATATTACTCCACCGAATATGTCCCTCATTTTAGCTCTTGTGAAACAAAGCACGTACCATTAAAATACATTATGTTTAAGACATCATATATTTTTGCGGATGAGATTGTAAGGGTCTGTTTACTTTCATTTCTGTTTCCTGTTTTTGAGAAAACATATGTTGAAAATAGGTGAAAACAACATTTTGTCGTTTCCGAAAACAGCAGGAAGTTGCCACTTTCTGTTTTCATAGTTGGAAACGAATAGAAAACAGAATGAAAAGTAAACAAGTTTTCTCATTTCGGTTGCCAAATTTATCACATGAAAACAGAAAACTGAAAACGAAAATGAAAGTGAACAGGGCCTAAGATTTCATTTGTTAACAGACATCTATGTAGTTGAATGAATTACTAGATACTTTTGGTAAATAAAATTCATTTCGCAACCAATATGTAGCAATTATTTGGATGTTATACTATTATATAACTTACGTAACCATAATAATTTTTATTTGTGAACGATAATTTATGTTGACTTTCTTCACAAAATGTAAAGGTTACAATTTATATAATTTTTACAACAGAAAAAAAAAATATTAAAAAAATAGCAACAATTATGTTACTAGAAATAACTGAAAATTATTAATGAAAAATAGTTGAAAATTATTAACCGAAAATAATTCAAATGTATTGCGTTTATGAAAGCAAACTAGAAAAGATTTAGTATTAGGTATAAAAAAAAAAAGGAAAGTTAAGATTGAAAAGTGACAACAGAACGAGTCATTTATGAATGATTGGGAGTAGTCATTTGCAAATGACTCAATTGAGTTATTTGGAGGCGAGTCATTTTCAAATTACTTATTTTTATTTTTTATTGACAAACGAGTCATCTTATGGAGAAGGGTAAAAGAATGAGGGCAAATATGTATTTTCCATAAAATGTCTTATCACAACTGTCTTATGTAAAACAACAAGTCAAACAAGACAATTATGTAAACATTTTCTCATACAATTAGCTCATTTTCTAACATGAAACTTTTTATCTCAAATTAAGAATGTTCTATCCAAATGATCTTTTTAAGTTATTTGACACTAAATAAACCCAGCGAAAGTACTTATATTCTGAAGATTAAAAAGACAGTAACGTTTTTTTGTAAGGAAACCATTAACTCCTTTAGTAAATTCATTTTCTTAACTGTATTAAGGCTTTCGGACATTTGAGTGCGACAAAAATTAATGAACAGTTCCTCTTTTTTTTTTTTTTTGGTTGCTTATAAAAGATGTTGAAACTTTGGCTTACATGCGGACCGTGCGAGAAAATTGAAATGGGAAGGGGAAAATAATTCAACCGGATTTGGAATAAATGATTGCGGCAAAATAAAAGCACAGATCATCAGTTCTAAAACAAAATAAATAAAATATAGTGAATATGTGCCGTACTTATAACGGTTGGGTGGAGGCGAGAAGCAGCCTGGCTCAGATAAGCCCACTCCCACTTCCCAACGCACAAAACACACCATTCAATTTCAATTCAAGTCCCTTTCCTTTCCGGACCTTTGGTGGGTGGGGGAGGTCGCAACTCCGTTCCTAAGATACGAAGATCTCACAAACATACCTACCTAACCTAACATTTGCCACCAGTCAGGATATATGATGATTTGATTCCAATATTCCAAGGGATAACAGGGAGCCTCTAGAGGAAGAGGATATTAGTGGGCTAATTTCATACACCATACTTCAAATACGTCTTGGTTGTGATTTGTGAATCTATTCTATTTGCAGTCCCCTCCTAAAGCCATAACTAGAGCTGTAAATGAGCCGACTTTTGGAAAAAGCTCGTTCGATACCTGACTCCTTTATTAATGAGTCGAGCACGAGCTATGCATTGTTCAGCTCCTGAAGTTCACGAGCTAGCTCAGGGGCGGAACCAGGATTGGGCGATCGGGGGGGCCAGAGTTAGCTAGTACATTATCGTCGAAAGTAAACAAATGATAAGAAAATTATTAAGAAAATAATAATATTATTATTAATTAATAGTATAATAATAATATAAGACTTTATTTTATATTAAAAATTCACTCAAATTAGAATTTAAAACAAATTTTCTAAATTCTATGTTTAACAAATTATTAAAAGTAAAATACTTATAAAACATACTATAAAAATTATAAGATTGCTCTTTGTCAAATAAAAAGTTACATAATCAATCATCTAACCAAGAGAATCATTAAGAATATAAATTTAAAAGTTGAAGAAATTAATTAAACTATATTTTAATTTTAAAGAAATTAAAATTGACCTATATATGATAATTATTAACTTATTAAATTGCTCTTTGGTCAAATTAAACTACTGTACATTAAACTTCCATGTTCTAAAATGTAAAAAAGGGAGGTGCACTGGGCTCGAACCCGGCCACTGAATGTAACAGGCGTGAATCCTTCCGCTGAGCCACCAAAACATTGATGTCATAATTTTGCACACAAATTTACTTATATTATTAGGTGTATACGTAAATTTTCAAATTCCTATCGAACTTAACACGTGACTTCAAAATTCTCGGGGGGGCCGGGGCCACCCCGAAGAACAACATAGCTCCGCCCCTGAGCTAGCTCGAATCGGTGGCTTGTTGAGCTAAACTCATGAGTTGGCTCGTCTAGAGGTCATGAGATGTGTCACATTGTGGCTAGAGAGCCAATCGATTACCGACTTACTGGCGAATCGGTCTATATCTTATGAGTTTAATTGATATGATTGTTAAATTATATATCTCACCATATATGAAGTTTAACACGTTTAGTATGTGAGCAAATATATTTTTTATTTTAAAAATAAATTTTATATTATAGATTGCTTCTATAATATTAAATAACATGATTTGGACTAGTTAAAATTTATTAACTACATAATATGATACCAACAAAGTATAACATGAGATTAGTTAATAAGAAACATTTGATATTTTTCATCATGACATCAATCACATATATTATACATGGCATTCAAAACGAAGTATCAAATACGAGTTAAGATTTTGGTAAACAAGCCTAGCTCGAGCTCGACTCGACTAGGCTCGTTAATAATGAGCCGAGTCGAGTCGAGCTCGAGCTAGGCTTGTTTTAGCTGGAGCTCGTTTATTAACGAGCCAAACTCAAGCTGAGGTAAAATTCGGCTCGGCTCGACTCATTTGCAGCCCTAGCCATACAAAGGGTAGTCCATTAAAATCAACTAACTTTGTGCCTAGCTTGCTGGTAGATTGAGTTCCCTTCATTATTTCTGTTAATCAATTGATTTTGGTGTCTAAATTATTTCATGTTTTTTATTTTATATTGCCTTAATTCACTCTTTAAAAGTACCATTTGTGATCTCTAGTGCCAAGGTAACGTAGATTTTATGAGTCATTAATTGGTTATTGGATAAGTTTTCAATCAAACATGCAGCATTAAATTAATGATTTTTATTTCGCGGCCTAAGAAATACATGCTTTCACTTAAAAAAACATCCAAGAAATATCGATTATTGTCCAAATTTATCATAAAACTATGATGGAGCATAAGTCAGAGAGGCCACTGGTTCACCTAGTTAAACAAGCAATCCAGGAATCCCATGGCCAGGATGCTTGATAGGGTGTTCGTTAATCTGGCATGGTTAGAGAAGTTTCCTACTAGCATAGTCAGTCTCCATGAACCTAATGTCTGGGATCATTGTTCAATATTGGTTCATC